TTCTGGCAGTAGAACTAATTTTAGAAAGCACCAAATTGTATGTTTGAGCCTACTATATTTTATCTGGAAGCCTGGTGTCAAGCAGAGGAAAAACAATGTTTATGACTAAAGTTACTAAGGCCACACATAAATTCTTCTAAAACCAGTCTGAACCAAGCATATCCATTATACTGTAGTCAAGTTTCTGTAGGTCTTTCAGGCTTTTGAGTCTAGTGAGTTGTCCGTTAAAGTTTCATATATGTTATGGAGAATAAATTTTTTTTTTTTTTTTGGAACCGGGAATTGAACTCACGATCTTGCACTTGCCAGGCAGGTACTGTGCTGCTGAGCTATATCCCCAGCTAAATTCCTTAAGCTAACAAGGTCTCTGATCTTAGCTAGTATTGGCCAATTTTTTTTAACAAAAGGTTTTCGCCAGTCAATACTTGTAAATTAGAAGACAAATAGACTCTAACAACCTTTCAAACTTGCTCAAAAAATGTCGTCCAGGTATATACTAAAAGGTTTGAGTTAGTAGTAGTTAATTATAAAATGCTGAGCTTTCTAGGTTTTTTGAGACAAGGTCTTGCTATTGGTGATCCTTCTGACTCAGCCTCCTGAGTACTGGGATTACAGGTGTGCACTACCATGCCCAGTTTAGTTTTATTTTAGCGGATTTGATTCTCATTACTTACTCAGGTATATATCCTCCAGTCAATGAAAAATAATTTCTGATGTCTTCCTACTATATAATATCATTTTACAGAAATCATGATTACAAAAATAGTCTTTTACTATATTTCTAACTGCCTTGCTCATAAGCTTTAATCAGGGAATTTTTGTCCAGGTTGTTTGAACATTTCAGCCTTGTCTTTCATCTAGGCACACCCTGTTTGTACCCAAATCCTTCAAATTTATCTCAAGTCCTTCACCAGAGTATGCTTGCGCACTCCCACCTTTTTTTGCTTGCTCATTCTTTTGCTTTTTTTTGGTACCTGGAATCAAACTCAGGACCTTGCGCTTGCCAGGCTTGTGCCACTGAGCTATGTCCCTGGCTGCCTGCTCCTTCTTATGACCAATCTCATCTCCTCCATATCTGAGTTAGTCTCAACTGAAATCTGTTTAATCCTCTCTGAAAGTATTTCTTTTGTTAGGTACCTTCTGTTTTATATTTCTCTTGTTTTTCTTGGCATCTGGTACTACTATTGACATAAACAAAATAGAGGAAGTATTTAACTCTGACCTCCTTGACAAACTAGTACAGTGTAATGCATAAAAAGAACGCACAGTGCTCTATTTGGATTATGTCAACTTAGTAAATGTGACATATTAAGGGATCCACTGGAAGGCAAGGGAAAGAAAAGAGAAGAAACTGCATAAAGAGGTCAGAGGACTCCACAGCAAACTATTTCACAACGGGCTTGTTTGTGTGTGCCAGCTTTGACAAAAGGGTAATGACATTTTCTGCTCTAAGTTTTGTGTCCATCATTTACTGTACAATACAGTGTCCAGCTTTGCCCTTGGCACCTTGAGATGTACCAATGAATAAAGTAAGAGTTTTGCTTTTCATTTCAAAGTTTCAATTTTCTTTTTTTGAGACAGACCAGGCCGGGCTGGTCTTGAACTCGTGGCTATTCTTCTGTCTCAGCTGGGGTCACAGGGATGTGCTATCACACTAGAGTAAATTTTAAGACAGGAGCTATGTAGTGCAGGGTGGCCTTGAATTCACTTACATAGCCCAGGTTGGCCTCAAACTCAGGGATCGCTCTTCCTTAGCCTCCCCAATGCTGGGATTACAGGCATGCACCACCAAGCCTGGTGATGAATTCTAACATTTAAACCAAATATGGTGGTGTATTATCGGTAATCCTAGCACTTTGGAGGCTCAAGTAGGAGAATCACTGCAAGTTTGAGACCAGCCTGGACTATATAGTGAGCTCAAGCCCAGCCTGAACTACAATGAGACTGTTTAAAACTAAACCTAGTTTCCTTTAGATTTTGTTTTCTTCCGCCGGTACTGGGGATCGAACTCACGACCTTGCGCTTGCCAGGCAGGTGCTGTGCTGCTGAGCTAAATCTCCAGCCCCCAGTTTCCTTTAGGTTATCTTGTGACATGGCTTCATTATGTGTTGCAAACTGCCCTTGAACTCCTGCCTAAGGGCTGCTGTGACAGGCATGTGCTATCATGCCAATGTTCATTTTTTAAAGCAGCTGGGTCTTACTGCAGGTTCCTGAAGTGGCAGCAAGCAACCCTCCTGCCTGACTCCTGAGTGGCAGTCTACAGATGCACATGGCTACACTGTACAATTTACATCCATAACTTTATTTGAAACACTTCCTTTTTTTTTTTTTTTGGTACTGGGGATTGAATTCACAACCTTGCGCTTGCCAGGCAGGCGCTTATGCCACTGAGCTATATCCCCAGCCCACTTCCCTCATGTTTGAGGTCTCATTTTACAGGTTTCCTTGTTCTATTTGGACTTTTAAGATACTCTATTTGCAGGTGAGTCAAACCATGGCTGAGGGCTGCACGTGGCCATGCACAGTAGTAATAATGCAGCCTCATAAAATTATAAACCTTAACAGGTGATTGAGGTTAGATTTCTCATGACTCGAATATGTTCCGACATGGGTAGCACAGGCAACTGTAGACTGTGTAAGGGAGGGTACAGTGTAGTGCCAGCGACTACCTCTAACCCACCAATCTAATTCAATCTAGTGGGTACCAGATGCTCTATGTGCTTGTGACGTTATTACTGACAGTATTTCAACTTCCATCACACTCAATGTAGTCCAGGCAAGCCAAAAGGTTGGACACCTATGCTTTCGCATGTTTTTCTTTCATGGTTTTTGAGGGTCATGCCATGTAGTTCTGGCTGGCCCTGAACTTCTGGAAATCTCGCCTTAGCCTCCTAAATGCTGAGATTACAGCTGTGCCCCACCATGCCCAGTTTACTTTCATTTCTTGTGACTGGGTCTGGCCTTGAAGTCATGGCCATCCTCCTGCCTCAGCCTCCTGAGTAGGTGTACCAAGCCTGGCTTCATTTTTTATCTTTTGTTTTTCTTCCAATACCAGGAATCAAACTCTCGACCTTACGCTTGCCAGGCAGGCACTGTGCTGCTGAGCTAAATCCTCAGCCCCCATTTTTCACCTTTTAACATCCATATTCTTTACATCTTTTTCAGACAGGGTCTCACTATGCAGTTTAAGCTGGCCTTGAACTGGCAACAATCCTCCTGCTGGGATTACAGGTGTGTACTACTACACCCTGCTGCTGAAGGCCCATAAAGCAACCCCCAAGAGCCCCACCCAACCTAGGAGTCCACTTATGTGGCAGGCTCCCTTCAAACTCAGTTGTTCAGATACCTCAAACTTCTTACTCTTTGAAAAGGGTGGCAGAGCTGGGGGTAGCGTGCTGTGCCACATACGAGGCCGTGTTCAATCCCCAGAATACACACACAAAGCAAAAATTTCTCAAACCCATTACTGTGTCAAATTAGAAAAGCAAACTAAACCCTAATTTGAAAGACAGTGATACTGAAATACCCCAACAAGGCTGAAGCAGGACAACTGTTACAAAAGCCTAAACTACATAGTAGGTTTCTATGTAAACCATTAACTAACAGTTAACAGGGAAAAGTTCGAAGCTCTCCTTTAAAAATGGGAATTAACACTTTTACTACTTTTGGAAGTCCAAGGCAGATCAGGCAAAAGAAACAAAGGCCACCCAAACTGGGATTGAAAAAAAAAAGCCAGCCATGCCTACAATCCTAGCACTCAGGAAGACTGCATAGCATCACAAACCTGAGCCCAGTTTAGGTGATGTCATGATTTACGAAGATCCTGCCTCAAAGCAATGGGCTGGAGGTTCATTTTGCAGGATGGCCTTGGGTTTAATTCTCAGGCCCACAAAGGGCAAATGAGCTGCGTGTGGCGGTGCATAGCTTTACGTCCAAGGGTCTGAAGATTGAGGCAGGACTACAAATTCAAAGACTGGACTAGGTTTAAGAAACAGAACTTAACCACTAAAGCCAACAAAATGGGCTGAGCCACTCGGCAGCTATTTTCTCAAGACAGCCAATAAGTGCATGAAATAATCCTCATTAGGAGTTGCCAGGGAAATGCAAATCAAAATAATGTAGCACCTCAATTAGGAAGCACATTACCAAAAAAGACAAACATCAAGTTTTGGCAAAGATGGGAAGAACTCTCAGATGTTGCTGGAGGATCCTCCAAAAATCAGTAACAGAACAAACTACGGGATATGTATGGACACGAAGCACTTACGCTGTCTGCTTGCAGCTACAAGCACAGGAGCCAAAAATGGAACAAATGTAGGTGTACACGATCAGTATGTTAACAGACCAAGGTGACAGAATATTCAATTCAGGATACCTCAAGCTTCTTAATCTTTAAATTCTGCCATTTGTACCATGGATGGGAACTTTGGAGGCTGAGGCAGGAGTTCAACAGCCTGGACTACACACACAGCAAGACGCTGTCTTAAAAACAAAAAATCGGCACAATCTCACTAAGCTAGAACCCACATTTCTCATAAAATAAGGGCAGAGGAAGGCGTTGGGACAAGGAATTACGGTATGGAACTACATATCAGGAGACAATGAGAATTATTTCAGGAGAAACCCTGAACACACACTACAGTACATACAATGAAATACAGCACACCAAATTGGTAAAAATTTCATGTATTAAATCCATTCAAGGGGCTGGGGATTTAGCTCAGCGGCAAAAGCGCCTGCCTGGCAAGCGCAAGGTCGTGAGTTCGGTTCCCAGTACCGGAGAAAAACAAAAACAAACAAAAAAAAAATCCATTCAAACTCATGTATGACTTATTCAATAAGAACTTTTGTTGTGCTGTGCTCTGATTTTCACTATTCCATTCCTTACACAGCAGCTTTTATATGAGAGCTCAGTATTTCATGACTGGGGTAGTCACTGCTTTCATCATATCCGTGACCAAACTGGGCCAGCTTATAAAATGCCATAGACTGTCCCACGATTTGGTAGAAACTGTTTTAATTGTAACTCTTCAATCCAAATAGGTAACTCCCCATTTGAAGAAACCCAGAACTATTTGCCTAGTATATATATAACTAATCTCCAATACCAAGAGAAAGAAAAATCAACTCAATCCCAACTTTCAGTGTTGTTTTCTTGGTTGTTCTCATCAGCTTTTCATGCAACAGGAAAACAATTACGGTACTAGCCCTAGAAAAGGAAAAACACAAAAATGTTACAACTTGTTTTTAACAGTACTTGAAAAAAAATTTTTGTCCATATAATGGTCTATTCTCAGAAGCCAGATCCGTAAACAGGTTTTTCAACAGAAATTCAGGTTCGGGATAGGATCATCATAGATAAGACCAAGGTCACAGTATGTTCTAAACTATTATGCAAAAAAAAAAAAATCTCTACTCACAGAAATTGATCCACTTTAGGCACTTCCCAGCAAGTTGGCCTCTGGGCATATTGTAATGCTCACTATTGCCTGAAAAAGAGTGAGCATTTTGAGTTATTAAGAAAAGAAACATCATAAAAGTCTAAGTTTATTATTTCATTTACAAATCTTGGTCTTATCTCAGAAGCCGAATCCGTGCATGTTTTTCTTCAGGTAATCAGCTTCGGGATAGGTTTCATCACTGATTAGACCAATCCTGCCTTACACCCTCGGTTCCATCAAATACTACACTGCAAAGGTAGAAGTTGTAAGCCACACAACTTACCTCAAAACCAAACAGCCGTCCAGTGACATCTACAGCTTCACTGTTGTTTATCGATACCCAAGCCACTGTTCAACGACAAAAAATTAGTTCAGTCTACACTCAAATAGACCACACGCTTAATCCTTAACATTAAGTCCAATACACACCTGATATGACTCAAGTTTTGAGTATGTATTTTTCCATTAACGATTGTGGCAGAAGCTTTGGAATTTTCTCACGCAACTAGTAAAAAGAAGCCAATTTCAAAAGATGCAGTATTTTTTTACTTCTGTAAAGAAATTTACCCCTTCAGTTTGATAAAGTCAGTTCAATGGTTTTTACCTTGGCATTTGCACGTAAACATTCCGATATACCTCTACAAAACGGCGACATTGCTCCTGCGGGGAAGCGATGTTTGAAATTAGCCTTCACAGAATGCGACGTTTGTTTTGAGCACTAATCCCCTCCCGTTTGTTAATCCGAATTGCACACAATGTCGCCTGAGAACTAGCTTCGAATTCAGCACAGGGTTAGGGCTGTCCCTGCTGAAATAAACTGGCGACGGAAAAATGGTATTTCATTTTAGCAAATGCGCGTGGCTCTAGAATCATAACCTCCCACGCCACACCTCTCAGCATAGCTTTCGGGCGGAAGTCAACTTCAGCGCGGCCGGCCACACGCGGCGCCCCAAGCCGCTCCAAACTGCAGCTCATAACACGTGTCTGTTCGCTATAACCAACTTCTGAACAGCACTCTACGCTCAAATCCTCAAAATCACAGCACTGAGGCTCGATCTTCTTCCTGCGCCACCGTTTTCCGCTTGGATACCAGGCCCATAAAACCCACTCACGTAGTAATGGACAATCCGTCCGGCGCTCCCGACGTAAAAGGACGAGCTCCGCCGCCTGCAGCTCCCTATATAGCCTCTTCTGAGTCAGAGCGAGGCCGCCCCGCCCTCTCTCCCCCATTGGACACGCGAGAGGGTGGGGGCGTGGCCCTTCCACGGAGTGAAAGAGCGGGAGCGCGCACAGCGTCGGTCTTCTTCAGGGGCCGTCCCGGGCGTGGTGCGCGCACCGCCCGCCCGCCCGCCGCGTGCCC